TAAAAAATATATTTAAGAAAGTTTTAAGACATAATAATGTCACCAAAAACATGAACAACAAAAGAAAAACAGGTAAATTGGGCTATATCAAAATTAAAAACCTTAAAATTTTGATTTTATTGATTTGAGAGAGAAGAAGGGAGAGGGAGAGATAGAAACATCAATGATGAGAGAGAATCATCGATGAGCTGCCTCTTGCATGCCCCCTACTGGGGATCACGCACGCAACCCAGGCATGTGCCCTGACCGGGAATTGAACTGGTGACCTCTTGGTTCATGGGTCAATATTCAATCACTGAGCAACACCAGCTGGAAAAAATTAAAAACTTTTATGCACCAAAAGGCACTATTTATAACAGAGTAAAAGGCAATTGAGAGAATGAGAGACAAATATATGCAAATCATATATTTGATGAGGGACTTGCATTCCGACTATATATGAACTCCTTTAGTTAAACACAAAATAAACAGCCAGATTAAAAAATGAACAAAGAACTTGAATAGACATTTGTCTGAAGTAGATAAACAAATGGCTAATAAGCACATGAAAAAAAAATGGCAAATATCACTAATCATTAGGAAAATTAAAAACCACAATTAGATACCAATTTATACCCATTAGGATGGCTACTATTAAAAAGAAAAAGAAAAGTGTTGGCAAGGATGTGGAGAACCCTTGTGTCCTGAAATGTAAAACAGTGCAGCTGCTATGTAAAACAGTATGGCAGTTCCTCAGAAAATTAAAGCAAAATTACTACATGATCCAGTGATTCCACTACTGGTTATAACCCAAAAGAAACAAAAGCAGAGTATTGAACAGGCATTTGTAAATTCATGTCCATAGAAGCATTATTCAAAATAGCCAAAAAGGTGAAAGCAACCCAAGTGTCCATTAACAGATGAATGGATAAACAAAATGTAGTATATATTCATAATGGAATACTTACTCCTCCTTAAAAAGAATATTCTGAAACATGCTACAGCATGGATGAATTTTAAAGACATCAGGCTAAATAAAATAAGTCAATCACAAAAGGACAAATATTGTATGACTCTACTAATATAAAGTACCTGGAGCAGTCAAATTCATAGAGATAGAAAGTAGAATGGTGATTGCCAGAGGCTGAGGGGAGAGGGAATGGGGGTTAATATTTAATGGATTTTGCAAGTTGAAAAAAGTTCCAGGAATGGATGGTGATAATGGCTGCACAATAATATGAATATACTTAATGCCACTGAACTACACACTTAAACATAGTTAAGATGGTAAATTTGATGTTAATATAAATTTTACACAATTTTTAAAAATAAAATTTTAAAGATAAAGGGATTAAATTAGATCAATGATTTGTAAATTTATGTATTTTGAGTATAGGACAGTTTTCCTAATAAATCCTACGTAGAACTCAATATATTAAGAATATAGCCCTAGCCAGTTTGGGTCAAGGGATAGAGCGTCGGCCTGCGAACTGAAGGGTCCCAGGTTCGATTCTGGTCAAAGGCACATGCCCAGGTTGCGGGCTTGATCCCCAGTAGGGGATGTGCAGGAGGCAGCTGATCAATGATTCTCCCCCATCATTGATGTTTCTATCTCTCTCTTCCTCTCCCTTCCTCTCTGAAATTAAAAAAAAAAATTATATA